CCATCCCCAGGCCCCAGGCCTGGGCCTCAGCAGAGGAGGCCGTGAAACGGGTTCTAAAAATACACCCCCGTCCTGGGCGAGTCCTTCCCGGTCCCTTCCACAGCGGAAATCTCCCTGCGTCACTGTCACCAGGCTGGCCAGACTGGGGAGGGTGACCACGGCCTCCAACCCTGGCCTAGAGTTTGGATCTCACCGGGGCCAAGCCTCAGTTTCCACCCGCGGCCCCCCAGGGAGCAGAGCAGAGCTGGGTGCAGGCTTCCCGCCGCCTCAGTTCCAGCCCGGCTGTGGCCGCCCGCTCTCTACAGCTGGGTGACAGCGGGCAAGTCGCACAGCCCGCCTCTGGAAAACTGGGCCCCTGGCCCCCTGTGCTGTGGGAACGCTTCCCCAGGGGCAGGGCTCAGGTCAAGGCCACTGGGGGCTGAGGAGAGCCTGGGCACTGGAGGGGGCTGGTGGCCACGGGGAGGGCCAGGGGAGGGTGGCCTCTACGTGCCTGGGATGGTTCCTGCCACTGTCCTGTGTCCCTGGCAGGGGGCCAGCTGTTCGCGCCAGCCCGACTCAGCACTTGGGCAGGGGATCAGCTTGGTGGTGCTGCCCTGGGAAGGCCCATAGAAGGCCTTGGGGCTGGGCGCAGGGCCTGCCTGGGTTCAGGGTGGGCACGGTGCCCGGGCAGCGAGGTGAGAGGCTCAGCTGCCCTCGGCCCCCCTCTCTGGGGCAGCCCCTCCCAGCCAGTAGCACAGCCCAAGCCCCACCTATATAAGGCCAGGGCTGCAGGCTCTTCCCTTGGGTCAGTGTTGCCTCCAGGAGACAGACAGTCCCTTTCAGCGCAGCCCAGCAGGTACTGCCCGCGGGGATCAGGGTGGGGGCCCCTGGGGACTGGAGGCCAGCCTGGCTCTGGAGGGGGCTTGCCTGTCTGCCCCCATATCCTCATGCATTTGAGAGGGACAGTGTGTGGGAAGGTTGACCTTGCGTCTGGGAGGCCCCTCCCCCCTGTGAGCCCCCAACTCCTGCTGTGACTTGTGGTCTCTGGGGCACAGGGTCCTGGGGGGATCCTGGAGATGAAAGGAGTCGTGACAGCTGCCAGCTGTCCCCCGTGTGAGGGGCTGTGGGCCTGGCTTGCGTTCATGATGGTTTGTCACCAGAATTGAGCACCACAAGCCATGGGGGTGTTTGAGTGTCACCTGTCAGGGTCTGTAAAAGCAGATGCGGCGGGGTCTTTTGCATGTGTGACCATGTGGGTCCCTGTTGGGTTTCACAACAGTGCGACCTTGTGTCTACCTTTCTGTGGCTCCTGCGTGGGTGCCCGTATCCTGGGTGTGTCCCTGAGCTTGGAGGTGTGCGTGCGTGACTGTTTATGGTGTGATCTGGTGACTGTTTATGGTGTTGATCTGGGGTCCATGGTGATGTGTGTATGGCTCTGGGGCTATTTTTGCTCATGTTTCTCGGGCTCCCCGCCTTGCCTCAGTGCCTCCTCCTGGCATGGCCCTAAGCAGGGGAGGGTGGCTACACCCTCTGAAGGGGGATTTCTGGGTTGGAAGCCCTTCAGCCCTGAGGCCAGGATGGGTGTCCTCCCGGCCACCCTGGCCCACCTGTCCCCAGCCTGCTGACTTGGTGCAAGCCGAGCCCCTGGAATGTGGCGAGAGGAGAGGGGGGTGGCAGCTGGGTCCGGGGAGGAGGAGTCTGCCAGGCTCTAAAAATAATCTCCAACCCTGGACAGCAGCTCCAAAGGTCTTTCGTGGGTTCCCAACCCACAGCCCCCGGCCTGATGCCTCAGCCTTCAGCTTACCCCGGTCCCAGTCTTCCTACCGTCCTATCTTGCCTCCCACCCCCACAACCGCTGCTGAAGGGCCCTTCTTTTCTGGGTCTTGTGAACAAAAGTAATAATAACAATAATAGCAACCATCCCCCTAGGGACAACTCCACACCAGGGCCTGTGCTCAGCTGGCCACATGCCCAAGCTCAAAAAATCCTCCTGACGACCCCCTGGGGAAGGCTCAGTTCACAGGTGACAGAAGCTCAGAGAGGCTGAGCAACCGTCCCGGGGTCACACAGCAGGGAAATGGCATAGGTGGGATTTGAACCCAGTTCCGTTGACCCCAGAGGCTGAACTTCTCTTCCTAACTGAGCCCTGCAGGAGTGTCGTCAGCACACAGAGGTGGGGGCAGCCACCCAGCCGCCCTTTCTCCCTGCCCCGCATCCCTTGACTGAGCGCCCAAGAACCTTTGGGCAGAGACTCTCCCTTCTCTACTCACACTCATTTCCAGAAACATCCTCCACCTTCTCACCAGCTCCTCACTGAGACCTTTAAAATAACAATAGCAATAATAACTGAGCAAAATAAGGCTTATTGTGTGGCAGACACCATTCCCAGGGCTTTACATACATCAGCTCCTTTAGTCCTCCCAACATCCCCTTGAGGTAAGTGCTGTTATGTCCCCCACTTTACAGATGAGCAATTTGAGGCACAGAAAGGTTAAACAACTTGCCCAAGGTCACACAGCTTGTTGTAGGTGGCAGAGCTGGGATTCAAACCCAGGCTAATCTGATTCTAGAACCTACATTGTTATCCATGCCCGTTACTATTCCAACGTGAGGGTTCACCCCTCCATTTTCCAGCTGGAGAAACTGAGTCTCTAGCAAGGTTATTAAGTTCAGGGTCACCTGCCAAGATGTGGCAGAGCTGGGCTTCTAACCCAAGACTCCTCATGCATCTTGTCACGATGCAGCAGCTCAGAGAGGGGAGCCCCTTGCTCCAAGTCCCACAGCACAGGCACCAGGACTGGCCCTGAGGCCCGCTGGCGCCCCCTCGCTGACCTCTGCAGGCGGCAGGCTGACCTCCCCTCCTCCTGCGCCCACCAGGCCCCCCCCACCGCCACCATGCCTTTCGGCAACACCCACAACAAGTACAAGCTGAACTACAAGCCGGAGGATGAGTACCCCGACCTCAGCAAGCACAACAACCACATGGCCAAGGTGCTGACCCTCGACCTGTACAAGAAGCTGCGGGACAAGGAGACGCCATCTGGTTTCACTCTGGACGATGTCATCCAGACAGGTGTGGACAACCCAGGTAAGCCCTCCTGGCGGGGCATGGCGGGGACCGAAGGGGCGGCGCTTCGGAGGCTGCCTGCCAGGCCTCCATCCTACCTTCCCGGGCCTCAGCTTTCTCACCTGTAAAGTGGGGACCATACTCATGGGGCTGTCGTGAGAAACAGAGTCCGTGTGTGGGAAGGGCTTGGGACAAGACCTAGAATGTAGCTAGCCTCTTGATGAATGCACGTGAGTGTCATGTGAGACTCCCCCAGAAAGTCCTTTACTCCCCCCGGCCTCAGTTTCCTCACCTGAAAAATGGGCACCGATACAGTGCTGGAGCCCTGCCCAGCACAAAGTGAGTTGTCGGCATCTGACGAGGGGTGTTACTAGGGCTGTGGTTCCTTCTCCAAGGACACCTGCAGGGCGAGTGGGCTGGAGGCAGGAGCACAGGTCCCAGCCTTAGCCTCCAACTCGTCCTGTGATGCAGGAGAGGCCCTGTCTCCGGGCCACTCTCCCCACCTGGGAAGTCAGAGGTGTTGCAAGTCTCTTATTATGCGTGAAAGCTGATAGTCTAAGGTTCTGAAAAATTCCAGGGGAGGATTCCATGATTTTGAGACTCGGAAGCAGTAATATTTTTCATACCTTACAACCGGCCCCCTGAGACTTCCCCGTTGCCCTGTCCCTACCATCCTTCCCTGGCCTCTCCCAACATTCCCTCCCCATTTTCACCAACCCCCCTCCCCATTTTCACCAACCCTTCTCAGCTCTGACCCGTGTGGGTACACACACACACACACACACACACACTTGCACGCACAGCCTAAACTGTACCCAGGAGCCCAGGCCTTCCTTGCTGGGGACAAGCACCTCTAACCTCACTCAACCCCCAGGTCACCCCTTCATCATGACCGTGGGCTGTGTGGCTGGCGATGAGGAGTCCTACTCGGTGTTCAAGGACCTGTTTGACCCCATCATCCAGGACCGGCATGGGGGCTACAAACCCACCGACAAGCACAAGACCGACCTCAACCACGAGAACCTCAAGGTTGGCTGCCCCAGGGGGTGGGAGAGGGA